AGAATTAAAGTTAATGATGCACACGTGGCAAGCGACAGCCGATCCTAATTTAATTTAGTGATTTCACGAGCCATGCAAAGCACAGTGTTTGCAAATGAAAACCGGGCATGGCTTTTTTTTAGCACGGAGTAATTTTTTGCCTCTGTGTCCGCACTTAGGCTGGGGCATGGCTGAAGCAGCGAGTCTGCCGTAGTTGAACATGCATTTTCAGGTTGTCATAAAATCTCAATTGTAGATTGTATTCCCATTATTATGGAAGAAAAGCCTGTAAATTGTTTACAGTGGAAACAAGCGTTTTGTCCAACGATGTGATGGGTTAAGCAAACCGTTTATTTGGCCCGTTGGCAACACTGTTCTTTCGTGCGATACGGCACATTGTATAACCATGATATAACGAACATTGATGTCTGAGAATTTTAGAAAATGTCGATGAAATGAGTACCTTAGTTTAATTGCAGTCAACAAACCAGATATCTTTTGCTGTGGACCAATCTGGGTACAGGATCAGTGCCAGACCACAGTAATGTATGGAACGCCAAAGAGCAAAAACTTGGAGGCAAAACATCGATCGTTCTTCGATATCGATAGATCGTTCCCCTCGTTCCCCTACATCACAAGTGTGATGACGAAAGACTGACGAAGAAAGACTGATGACGAAAGACTGATGAAGAAAGACTGACGAAGTTACAGCAATGCCAACGTTACACAACCCCTTCCAATACTAAATTAAGCACGTGTTCTCTGTAACCATAGCCCACCAGCACTCAAGGCCGCCTGTGTTCATTAGCCGTCAGTCTGGTCTGAGCCAATTGGGTTGTCAGGTGGGTGTTTATATCTAAGTTTCTTTGTCGCAAAACCACTAAGAATTTTTTTATTTTCCCCTGGATGGGATGCTAGTTCGTTATGGGTCGCTCCCTCAAACTAGCCACTGTGGGCACCCATGCTTACTCCTAATGACTCGAATTTTATTTTCCCCACTAATAATATTCCGGCGGAACGATTGTGTCAGATGCTATTAAAAAAGTCAACCCTCTTGAAGCTGCCAAAGGCAAGTATTCTTCGTTATTTCTGAAAATTGCGTGACACCCTCCAAAAAGGAAATTATATCATCTAAGGCTACAACGTAACAGTGTAATTTCCTTGGTTAAGGATTATGCTTCACATGTATCACAATATAATTGAGCCTAGTTAATTTTAATCGTAACGTTTATAGGCTGCCAAATAATTTTTCAGGTTTTACTTCTTTTTTTTTCATTTGCAATAATACCAGTTTAATCCTCACTTGCTCACCCATCGGTCAAACGATGATGCCCAGAGCTTGTAGTCCAAATGCTACGAAAATCTACGAAGTCTTCTCTAAACGTCCGGGGCGAAAGTCTTTTAGGATCGATGAGACGCAGGGGATTGTAATACGCTCTCTTTGTTGCGCTTAACAATATGCACATTTTTTTGTTATTTTCGACACCGTCGTTGTTAGCTTGGAGTCTCAGGGGATCAGGAATGAAAATAGTAAACTGTGCATAATACAATGTACTGGACTTACTGTGACTCATCCACGCTTCCATTGAGATCGTGGGAGGCAATTGAAACAAGTTGACAAATATGAAATGAGACTGAGATCTTTTAAATTCAGAAGGAAATAATGTGTTCATCAGTGTTTGGAAGTGCATAGCCAGGTATCTAGGTCAAATGAATGACAAAATAGTTCCGCCGGTTCTACCGGGTGTTATTAGTGTGGAAAATAAAATTCGGGCCGTTAGGAGTAAAAATGGGTGCCCAATGGTTAGAGAGCAACCCATAACGAACTAGCATTCCATCCAGGGGGAAATCGAAATGATATTTTTGTGTAGGGTCTACCAGACTGACGGGTAATGAACACGGGTGGCCTTGAGTGTTGGGGGGCTATGGTTACAGCCTGGAGAACACGACTTGCTTTATTTGGTACTGGAAGGGGTTGCGTAACGTTAGCGTCGATGTAGCTTCATCGGTCTTTCTTCATCGCACTTATGTCGTAACTCTTCTTCCATCGCTCTTTTTTCATCGATCAAAAGAGATAGATGTAGGGGAACGATCGATCGATGTCGAAGAACGCTTGACGTGTTGCCTCCTCGTTTTTGCCTCTTTGGCGTTCCATAGTAATGTCCTTCCCGAACCGTCTAGTTTGTATATTTACGTTGCTGCCATTTGGGCGAGTCTCGCAATTATTACTGTTCCCGAGCTCAAAAATTATATCAAATTAGACTTCTCCTCTGTGCTAGTGTTCGATCATGGCTTGATTGTCTTAATGAATAATTGTGCCGCTGCTGGGACTGAAAGCTGAACTAAAACCTACATGTACGCCAGGTCCGTTTTATAGCTCCATGGCCAGATTGACCACACCGTTTACACAAACTGTAACGTCTTCTCATTGTCTCTTCTCTACAGGTTTCTTCAGGCTTTCGAGCTGCACTGCCTGCAGTGCCTAGGATACTTTTGTGGAATCCTTAGTTTCATTGCAAGAAAGACTTACATAAATTAAAAAAAAAAAAATTTCCTCATTCTTGTGTTCAATTCCCTGTGTGTCGAAAGCTTTGATTACATTACCTGGGGATGTCTGCCCGATTCCTTGCGAGGCTTTGCATTTCCCCTTTAAAGCATCCTGATTTATTCTCTTATCTAGCACTTTTTTGGTGCCCGAGTCACAGTCGTAATTGTTTCAGCGACAATGCCCCTTAGCTCCCACCTGTCACTGCCTTCCCAGACAGGCCGGAGCCAGGCGGCGTTCTCACCCACTGCGGGAAGTTTGTGTAGTGGCAGGAGATTTATCTAATCGCCCATGTCTTTGCAGAGATGCACGTGCTGAGTTGCCCAAGGACATCAGTGTTCTTCCTAGTGCGGTCGTGTTAATGTTTTGCCTCACCGTCAGCTAGCCGCAGCGCAAGGTCGGCGCAGCTGGCCTGGGCGGGCAGTTAGCGTGCTGGACGCATTCTTAAGTTTCTCTTATCCCCTAGAAAAAGAATTTCTCCTTCATTTTTGTCTCTGATATCCCATCCACTACATCGCAGTTTGCTTATTGCCACCTTGATCTATGTGACTGACTGACTGACTCAGTACATTCCAAAAGCTGCGCTGTAAGTTGTACTCAGTCACTTGTCCAATTATGGTCCGATTTGGCTGTGTCCCTCATTGAGTGCTACTGAATTTCAACATTTTGGTTGTTAAAAAGTTAAAAACATTCACCGCAATCTGCTTTAATTTTTTTGAACCACGAAAAAGTGGGGGGATGGTTCCATAGCCCACCCCCGGGATTTACGCTCATGGCATAGAGTTAGCTAGTATGTTGGACGTTATTATCACTTAACATGCGGTGGATGCAGTGTGCACATGTAATCTTCAGTTCGGATCAATGAGTCCGTGTTCTGAGGAAAGTCATGAAACACAGTTTTAAAACAGGAATTGCCTTTTACGCGTTACCATTGCAGTATTAGCGTAGTGCTTATTGACCTGAGTTTGGAAACGACCACACTGACTTAGTCATATCAAATCACTATATCGCAGAAGTGTGGTTTTGAGGCTCTAAATGTTTTGTGTAAAAATTGAAATCAGCATGTTTGTAATAAATTATCGTCACATCGAAAGTTACCTGCGAAGTAAGCGAACAATTAATGTCCAATTCCCAGTCAGAATGACTCCCAACTCGTCCAGAGAATTCCACCATATCCACACATCTGATCTCCGTAGTGCAGTTTTATAAAACACCACGTCCTATGCACTTAATACACGTGTGTGCGGTAGTCCGCCCGTTTTTCCTTCCATTTTGACGGGTTTAATTGTATTCTGCCACGCAGAAGTCAATACAATCCAAACAATGACAAGCAAAGCTGTGCTATATGTGCAACGATAGTTTACGCTACATACCTTCAGATTTGTATTTAATGTTTATCCACGGGAATGAAATGCAATGAAATAACTTTTTGACTCGTTATAATTTTCAATGTTTAATTTGCTGGCCCCATTAGGCCTAAATGTTAACGAGTAGGATGAGAAGCTGCTGTAATGATGCCATTTGAATTAGTCTATTTATTTGTTTATTTATTTATTTTGCCTTTTTGTTTTGTTTCATTTTTCGTTTACTGCAGTTGCTCTGCCAGAATTCGTCTATTTACTCGATCGAATTGTGAAATTCAAACGATCGCAAGTTGTATATCACATGTATTAGAATTGACTCAGTCACATGTCCACTTTACTTAATCCTAAAGCAATGTGTATATAGGCCTACACAATTACAGTCTTATAATACAGTTGAACATCTGTTTGGATAGCTCACCGAAACATGAATGAAGTAGGTTGTCTTCAACGTCATGCTCCATGAATCAATAATGTGATTTTTCACGTGGAAAGTATTTACATACAGCGTCAATTACCGCTATCATAAATGTGCTTAATAATCCAAAAGCCTGTCTGCGAGCATATGAATTTCATGTCTGCCCCAGTTCTTAAATGCAGTCATTAAAGTGGTGGGTTCTAACTGTCTAACGAATCTGCTGGTTGGGTCAAGTTCCCATGGCATGTTTGGTGTGATTATAGAACACATGGCCCAATCTGCCACTTTGCGGACTTGGTATTCATTTCTTCTGTTTCTATAGCTACATTAAAGAGGGCGCTCTTCAATCAACTGATAGCGAGGTGCTGTGAATTTTTTTTTATAAATTAGGTTAGGCTTGCGTTTGCACCATGTACAGGAACTCTTTTATGAGTGTGTGGTTCTGAGAAGAACTGATGGTGAACACTCGACGTTCCGCACAGTATGCTCTGTTCGTCATCAGGAAGGTGAAAGCGGGAGGGTGACTCCTGAAGACAAGCATGCAGCGGATTTAACGGAAGCAAGAGCACCCGTGATTGATTTTTAATTTTCTTAATTTTTTTTTCGTGTCGGTTATCAATTTCATTTGCGTGCACGTAAGTAGTCTTACAAAGGAAAGTGCATGTGTATTATTTCCTCCGTTTTTTCTTCTGTCCAGAATCCGTTTCGCCAAACAGTAGCGATTATGAGCGGCGAGCGGACTACCGAGCCGACATCGAGCGAATGACCCCCACAGCACCGATGCAGCGCAGCCCCGGTCTTCTCACAACAGCGGCCAAACCGAAACTCATCAAGTCCGAGAAAATGCCTCCTGCGGCAGCGGGAGCCGACAAGGACACCTTTGCCAAGTCAGAGAAAGGACAAATCGAGAATGTTAAGGATAACCATGGCAATGACTCCGACTCAGGCTCGTCCAACAAGTTGGGTACGTATTAACAGTTTGCTTCTGATGCATCATGTTAAAGGTATAATACATTATTCGTTTTGATTTCATTCTACAAGACTGGCTAATTCCGCTGAACAGTTTCATGGTCGAAAAACTTGAATTGACCGCTTTGAGAACAACTGAGGAAAACGTAGTGCGTTTTCAACGGTCAAATCGAATATCTTGTACAAAACCTAAGGACTACAAGGCGCTCTGAGTGAGCGAACGACACACACGTTGGTCAATCTGCAGTTAAATACTTAACGGGTTGCTTAGGCCAAGAGTTATCAGTAAATTTACCTTAGAGTATTGTGCCTCTCCAACATAAAATGTAGCGTTGTCCTTCAGGAAAAAAAAATCCTCATCGAGCATTACTGCAGTCGGCTCGTCAAGGTGTTCACTTTAAGGCATACGCGTCCACACTTTCACATCAGTTAACACAACGTCAGTGCAAGTCTAAAACCCATACTTAGTTTTACTGTATGGTTATTAAGATAGAGGAAACTATAGCTGGAAACACGGGTTTTACTTCTGGAAATCGTACAGTTTTTGGTGACGAAAATAAGCCTCGCAGTGCAACCGTGTTGGTCAAAAGTGCATAACGAATAGTTTGGGCCAATGCATGTCATGCTTTGGGGCTAACAACGAGATGTATGTTTACTTTGTAGATTCAGAGCCCAGGAGTCCAACATTCATTCATTGTAGACTGCTTGGTCTCCGTTCTAATGCAACAAAAATGAACAGCATCCTGTCCGAACTTAAGTTTAGACAGGATGTCGCTGTGTTCTATTTACACAAATATGAATCCCCAAAGAAAAGAAATTTAAGGTTTGTCAAATTTAAAACATTCTGTAGTTTCTGGTGCACAAACTAATGTAAGAGTGAAGTTTTCTTCCCGGGATGACATCACAGTTTTGCTCATGAATACGGAAATACTCATTGGTATAAAACTAAAACGGTGGCAAAATTTCTTTACAGTGGTAAAACAAAATTGGAAATGAGCTTAACTGAGACATAAACGTGCAGTTTTTATTTAAAAAATTGCTTTGTAGAGACCCTTTCATTAGGCATATCATTCAAATTACCGGGCTTCTGTTTCTTCGCAGGATCAAACGGGGACGCAGAAGAGGACGGTGCCACCAAGAGGAAGAAGCGTCGCAACAGGACCACCTTCACCAGCTATCAGTTAGAAGAGATGGAGAAAGTCTTCCAGAAGACTCACTACCCAGACGTCTACTGCCGGGAACAGCTAGCACTCCGATGCGACTTGACAGAGGCAAGAGTCCAGGTAAACGACCTTTCATTTTTTTGCATGAAGCATATACAATTCTTCTCGAAATCTTTCTACAGTAGGCTCTCAGAATTCCCTGTATTTTAGTCTGGTCCCTGTTATTTAGCCCTCTCTTAGTGATCGGTTATTGTGTCGCAAACCAGTTAAATAATGTACAACGGACACTTTGGCTTGTCTGTGAATATGATTAGGTTTAGAATCAATGATACTTATCAATGTGGTCCTCACAAGCCATCGAACCAACGAGATCTGACTTTTGTTTCCCCATTACAGCACTATTAGCCAGTATGAGTCTCAAATGGAAACGCATTCTTGCCTTTATCAAATACGTCAAAAACACAAAAGAAAGTCTATTGTCTATATTACTAACGCGGAACTAGTAATTGGCAGTAACAAAGCGCCCTCTGGCGCAAAACAAGCTCTGAATGCAATGCAACCGCTTCGTTGTACCAAGATTAAGTTTGACTGAGTCTCTTTAAACTGCAAATACTGCCAAAGATATCAGCTTCCCTGGCCCCAATTTCCTCCGTTTATTAATGACAACCGTTTAACCCGGTGACCCCCTTTCAGACAATCTGGTGTCAAGTCTTCCCCCTTGACCCTCCTCCCCCTATTCTCAGGCCTGGGGGCCTCCCTCTTGGGGCTAGGCCCAGCCTCAATTTTCCGCCTCGGTGTTTTTGTGCGGCAAAAACCCTCGCGGCAGATGTTTATTTCTTGATTTTTTTTTGAGGGGGTGCGGTCCCGTTGATCATTTATGATATACTGTGTTCAATTCCCATATTTATCTGTAGAAACCACAGTTCACTGTTACCCGTGTTGTACGGGTATTTCTGGGTTAAGGCCAGGGTGAAATTAAGGTAAAATGTCAAAACCATATCGTGAATTTGAGGAATTCCGTCTGTAAGGAACCTTCATGTGCGCCTATATTGTTCTTGCTAAAATGGATCAATTGAATCGGCAGGCTTAATAGGTGGAAATCGGTTATTAAAATAGCACTGATTACATTCAAGTCATACCAAACTTCTTCCACAAAAAACTTATTGAGATGAATTTTGAGATGAATACTATAAGTGCAAAACCTTCAAGCTTCTATTCCGTAGCCCGCCCTGTGAAATGACAGGAAAAAATGTGGGGAGCTACAAATAATACCTGCTTGGAGTTGCTGAACCTGAACGGTACAGTACAACTGGCCTCCCATGGAGTTGCTGAACCTGACCGGTACAGAACAACTGGCCTACCTTGGAGTTAAAGCAATTTCAGCGAATCATTTAGGGAAATCAGTGTTTCTGCATCACGAGATGAAACATCTAACAATTGTAATGCATAGGCCTAATTTGTTCTGTAGATTCTACACTGTTGTGGGGATATACTTATTTAACTTAAGCCTTGTGAAAATGTACCTTTATTTTAATTCGAAGTGACTCTACAAGGCACTTGTACATTTCCAAAGTTCGGTTTTGAAAATCTGTCTATGCCCCGAATTCGTAACGTGCACTACGTACACAGATTGGTGCTTTCGCCTATACTCACAGAGCTCTGGCTGATGATGGAAAAGAACTTTTGAAAACTAGATAAATAACGAGAGAACTGTTTTATTTGTTTTTCTCTTCTTGCTCGGGAATGCAGCGAAATCATAGGCTCTCGCTATAATGTTAAATAATGGGCTTTTGATACCAAATCTACTACATTCTGTCCCTTTAGGTCGTCATAATATCAAACGGTGTTTGAAATATGCAGCCACGGTTGATACTGCAAGCACTTTGTTTAATGGGCTTGTAAAATAAACCCGTAAAGTGGTTACAATAAAAATGGCTGGCCAGAACATACGTCATTTGACCTCGCCTCAAGCTGTAATTCCCGGGAACACTATTGCTCAAAACACAAGTTGAGAAAAATGTGTGAGAAGTCGAGTCTGTAACCTCGAGGGACAAGACAAGGTAGACGGGAAAAAATGTGGCAAAAACGCGCCTCCTTCCGGAAAAGCTTATTTTCGCCAGAGTGCACAGTGCAAATGCCGGGCGGGATTTGTTCATTAATGCCCTGTCGAACGAAAACAACGGACGCGGTGGGACGTCCAGCCAGCTGGGGGAGAGGAACATTGTTCCAGCCCCAAGGCGAACTTTATCGGGGAAACATCAAAAGCAGTCGCCAGTCTGGGCTTGGGTCCAGAGTTAATAAAGGAACAGAATGAGATTTCACTGTTGATTCTAAAGGGAAACATTTATTTTTGAAGAATATTGTGCAGTTCTTATTCTTCAGCAACAGTATTTAACCAACCGAAGATATTTGACTCGCTTACAACAACTACGTCTATGGATTCCGTCGACCTGCTCCGTATTGTGTTTTGATTTGATTCGACGCAGCTTGTTTCACGTAGGCGTAGCCTATAAGACAACAAATGGTTTAACATTTTGACAATGTCGTTTGACCGTGCTCTGACGTTGTCAGTGTCAATAGCGAGGAATTATAAAAAAAAACCATCACATTTTAAAATCCCCAATGGTGTGCCTGAGTTTGTGTTGCATTCTTTATTTCTGTAGGATTGGAGGATTTCTTTTATCTATCGTATTCAAAATTCAAGATTAATTTATTCAACCAATAATTAAAAGAAAATAATCAAAGGAATTTGTAATGTTGGACTCACATAGACATACAAATAACTCCATTAAAAATACCATACAATTAAAATAATTAAACTAATTACCACGGAGATTAAAACAAACTTTACAATTACTATAGGCCTACACATACTCATTTATAAAATCCCACCACAGACAAATAATGGTGTAAATCTGTTTCCAAAACCAATTATTCATAATTGTTTTATGATTCAAAATTCCCATTATTAAAAACACGCACGGGTGATAGCATAAAACTATTTCCGAAATGGTTGATTTATGCACCCATTCATCTCATCCTCCTTCCTGAAAGCATCACATGGAAGAACTCATTTACTGGATGATGCGTGTCATTAACAATATTTTGAACACGCTTCCTCATTCCCCTATCATAAATCGATTTCATGTCATCCAACTGAACTCCTATTATGTGTGACGCATTTTAACCACCCGATCCAATCTATCAATTTCACACTTAGGAGTAGCATTAAACCAGACGATAATAGAGCTGGTCAGATTCAATTACGCATCTATAAAAATTAAACAAAATATGTCTGCTCACACCAAGGATTTGAGTCTACGTAAAAATACAAACGCTGTTGGCCCCTTTTCAAATTTTCAGACACTTGAGTTGACCAAGACTGGGTATTCATTATGCACGTGCTGAGAAATTTAAAACAATCTACAATTTCCACATTCCTTCCGTTAATGACAATTGATTCAATTGGACCTTTATTTCTGCTAAAATCAATTATCATTTCCTTATTTTTGTAAACATTCAAGACAAGATTATTCGATTCAGACCATTCTGCAAGAGATGATACTTGATGTCGATAACTAAATTCATCGCCATTACAAATTAAACTAGTCAGGGTAGAATTATCAGCAAATTTTACAATCACACTAAATGGATGTTCCACTTTGCAATCATATGTAAATAAACTGTACAATAAAGGAGAAAGACTACAACCCTGTGGGGTTCCAGTACTCACAATTGGTTTAAAAACCTTGAATCGATTCCACCAATCTGTCTACATGTCAGTAAAAATTCTAGAACCCACTTACATAAAGATCCCGGTAAATTAAGATCAATCAGCTTCTGATAAAGCTTTGAGGGCATTCTGGTATTAAAAGCTGATGAATAATCAATAAATAAAATACGAGCATATTTTGACAAAGTTGGCTCCCAGGTTCCAGATGCTTTAAAACATTTCATGAATCATGATAACGATATTTACGATATTCAGTTGACTTTAAGACTGTAATGAAAGTCTTAGTCTATAGTTTATAAAATGTTTCCGAGATTCTTCCTTTGCATTTGCAATTGATTATGGTTGTGTGTATACACTAAATGCAGCAAACAGGATTTGGCGAGAGGAAGGCGAGAAATTTCTGAACGCATCACACACGCTACCGGCCGGATACACGGATCAGTGAATCAGGAAGTGGTGCCGTTTACCGTCCCTGTCAATCACCAAACTACTTGATACTTGGTGTTAATTTTCAAGTGAATCATGTTTTCACTGCTCTGCTGCTTGTGGTGTTAATTTTGTTGAGTCGCCATGGCTGTCAATTGATCTGGCAATTTGTGCTGTCAAAGTTTATTTGTTTTCTTTTTACTTTCACCCAGTGCTGCAACGCATACATGCTAAAGAATACAACACTCGGGGTATTCCGCAGAAGCCAATGCAAAGTAAATTAGAATTTGGATAATTTCAGTTTCTTTATTGAGGTTAGCTTCGCCCACCATCTTCTAGTGAATAAGGCAAATGTACATCTTCAAATGACGACACAAAAACTGCAAACCATCGTTCCCTTAAAAACTACTTAAAAAAGTCGAACTTTTTAAAGAAAAAAACAAAATATCAACCCTTGAAATAGATGATGTACTTTTAGAGTGAAGAAAAACAGAATTATTGAAACTTTTTTCCACATTATTTTGAAAGGAATGATGATTCAAATGCTTACAGGTCCCCTTTAACGATCACCGGATGCCAGAAGGCTCCGATATGGAGGTCAGGATTATAATTAAACTGCCAGAGCAGACGACAACTGATCCTCAGATTCCCGCCAAAAATGTAAGCGGGCTCTCCAAGCTGTGCTGATTTATCCCTCCCTTGATGTCTGGCCGCCGCCGCCGCCGCTGCTGACACCAGTAAAGGGATTCCAGAGCGTGCAGCTTTATGCGCTCACCAGATTGAGCTCGTGGGATTTGGTCGCGGTTTAAGTAAGGCTAAATGGCATTGGTGAATTTTCTAAATGTCGTTTTAAATGGATTTATACCTCGTGGGAATTCAATCAACTGAGCCACGCTTTTTTTCGGAGAGGGAGGTGGGAAACTGCAGTAGTTCTTAAAAGAAGATTGTGTGAGTGCCTGCG